CTTTTATAGGGAAATGTAGGAGGGAATGCTACCATCTTGAGCTCCTGTACAAAAGGCAGATATAAACCTAACACACACACACACACACACACACACACACACACTTCTTTTCATTCTCCTTTTAGGTAAAAACTCCAACTGCAATCCTAGAGACCACAAGTCTTAGCAACTATATGAAATGGTTGGCCTTCTAGGATTTTTTTAAACCTCCCTTATATTTCCTGTTGGTTTCCCATCCAAATACTAGCCAGGTTCTTCCCTGCTTAGCTTATTAGCACATTTAAAGATGAGGCATTGGGTTAAGAAGCCTTTCTTTGCTCATGGTGTCCTACAAAATTCCACCGTCTGCTCCACAACCACTAACCTCATACCAACTCAAAGCTTTAACTGCTTTCCAAAATGCGGTCAAATCTTTGTCCTTATGGTGAGCCTTTGGTTGCTATGGATGGAGCTAGAATGAATTTGTTCTCAGGCTCCATAAACCCAGACAACCATAAATCTCTGTCCTGCAACTGCACATTGGTTTCACTTGACTGCTAAGCATGGATTCAGCTGAAATCTCACATGTGACATAGTGTGGCTAGGTAAGATTTTTTTAGCGTGAACTAGAACAAAGTCACACTGAACTGTTGATTGCCTTCTGTCAACATGAGGGGGTACAACAAGCCTTCTATCTATGGCTTGTTGCTTTCTTCCATCTTTCCCATGTTTTACAGTCTCTTTTCCCTGTGCTTCATAGTCTTGAAGCTGAATGGTTGTTGACATAACTGACATCTCTGTCCTGAGAAATATTGGCTCACACTTATCTCTGACGCTTACTGTCTTTGAACTGTTGTCTAAATTATTTATGGATAGTTAACTTTTTTTTTTTTTGCTATTGTGCACACATACACATATACACGTACATACATTCACACACATGTATTGTTTGTGGTCCACATAACACACTACCTTAGGCTAAAAAGGGACTTGAGTAGTTTATGATTCCTTGTGTTGTAGAAACCCAGCCAGTGCCTTAGCCCTGATGTGAATTATTTGTCTGGACATTGTATGTTATGTGAACCCAACAATTATGCTTCGTTAACCAGGGCTTGAGGTATTGTGTGAACTCTGCCCATGAGTGATTTAGTGGGTTTGAATTATTACTTGTTCTGTAGATCCAGACAGTAGGAAAAGACCACATGAGTGTGAGAGAAGTAGTGATCTGTGTTTGCTAATGTTTAGAGAAATAAGGAATGGCCCACAAATCATAGTTAGTTTAGAACAGAAACACCCTTGTGATTGGGTGGCTGCATGGAAGGAGAAAGTAGCTAAAGGAGGAGTTGACTATTTGTGTGCTGTGTGATCCTTCTGCTGAGCATTACATACAAACTTGGTTGTCCTTTCTCAACCTCAAGTCTTCAGTACAGAAAGAATGAAAGTCATTAACCATATCCAGGAAGGTCTGGGGCTGTTGAAAGAATGGCAGAAATATAGTGCACTTCTATCCAAAACACTTTAAATGTGCAAATGGTGTTCTGTGCACACTAGATTGTACAAACTGAAATGTATTGAATGCATTGATCCATGTACATTTCTTCTGTAATTAAAGCTCAGAGGCAAGAATGGTGACGTATCTTTTGGAGAAGGAAACAGTGGTAAGAGAGTTCATTTCTTTTCAGCCCTAATAGGGCAGCTGCTGTTTTAATTACCCAGAATGCTCTGAATGGTGTAGCATTCTGGGAAATGATTGAGGAGCAAGAATGGCAGTTACTAGGCATGGCAGCTAATTGCTTAGTAAAGGTCAAAACATGTAGTCAAAAAATTACTGAAGAAGCAAGATACGTCTGTAGCAAAGAAGAATGATAAAATGCAATGACTTGTGCTGGTTAATGACCAAAATAAAGTTATTTATATTTAAATGCAATGAATAATACTCAGACACAGAGACACATGCACTTTTAAGACACATATTCTGAAACAAAAGGAGAGGAGCTTGCAGGCAAAAAATGGGAAGTGTTATAAAATAATGTAACACAATATGTCCTATCTATCAAGGCAGCAGGGTGCTTGGTTTCTTAAATGCTTGTATTCCTTCTCTCATCAAGGAACTGAAGCACCTTATCCTTGAAGCGGCTGATGGTTTTCTCTTTGTGGTGGCTGCTGAAACAGGCCGAGTGATCTACGTCTCGGACTCGGTTACACCCGTCCTGAACCAGCCCCAGTCGGAATGGTTTGGCAGCACTCTGTATGAGCAGGTTCACCCTGATGACGTGGAAAAGCTGAGGGAGCAGCTCTGTACCTCTGAAAACTCCATGACTGGTCAGTGGTCTCTTGAACAGCTTTGCTCCCCTTGTGGGGGACACCCTAATGCACGCTTCCCTGCCCTGGTGGCTCCTAGATGGGTTGGGAATTCTCAGCATGTCAGGAATTCTGAGAGCTCAAGTCTCATTGTATGTGGAGGGCTCCAAGTTGGAGAAGCCTATCTTAATGGCTTGAGCTACCGTATAGATATCCACTCAGACGCAAGTCATTTGAAGATAAGGAGGTTTAAGGTGACATGTCCAAGGTTGCAGGCTATATACCGATTGGGGGTGGGGAGGAAGGGCACACTGGTGCAAGAAAAATAACAGAAATAACATAGCCCATTCTGTCCATTAATTAAGAATAGTTGCATCTGTGCATCTTTTTCATCTCCCTTTCCCCCAACACTTGTGTTTTTTCTCAGTTTTTCATTGTTTTCTTCAAGTGAACTTTTGTTGTGTCAGCTCCTTTCTGATTTATCCGCTCCTCTATTGTTTTTGGGTCCTTGGGGTTATTGCTTGTTTTTTAGTACACCACTTAAAATTAATCTCCAGCTGTGCTGAGACAACATTTTTTCCCAGTGTTAAATAGGTTGTGTTTGGTTATGACAACACAAAGCGTATAGCTCGTAGGTTTTGAATATACACAAGAGAAGCTTGGGCAATTGGGAACAGTCTGCTGTGGTTTTGGGTGAAATGCATATCGGTGAGAACAAAGGAAAGCAAAGATTATTTGTGCCAGCGGTGCAGTGCTGCTGATCTAGGTAGTTTATTACTGTTGTCTTTTCTTTTTCTTTTCTTCCTTTTTTTGTTTGTTTGAGCCGTGTCTCCACTTCATTTGGGCCATCGGTTCTCTGCCACTTGGCTGTGCTGCTGAATTTCCATCTAGCTGATCGCAAGAGGAGTGGGGAGTATCTGTGTCTGGGTTTCGTGTAAATGTTTCTTTTTCAGGATTCTCTGTGGTGTTTATGGGTTTGACTTCCTTTCCTTTATGAGAGCTGACCCTGAATGTACTCTGTTTTTCTGAAGGCCTTTTATCTGCTTCTGTTGCAATCCTTTCTTGCTTGAAATTTTACAACGGCTTGAAAAGATAATAATAGATTGTCTCTGTTTTCCTCTCTGGTACCCTGTTTCTTTTGCCTCTTTTTCTCTGACACTGTATTTTTCTGTCTGACATCCCCTCCTCTCTCTCTTTCTCTTTGAGACCTCATTTTTCTTATACTTTTTTCCATCTCTCTTTCTGACACTCCCTTCTTTTTAAAGCTCTCAATTGACTATTCCGTGTCCTTGACATCCTCTTTGTATCTTTCTCTCTGATATCCCTTTTTCTGACACTGATTCTAACTTTATTTAACCTGCCCCCCCTTCCTCTCTCTTTTTCTGACTTCCTCCTCTCTATTCAAAATATTATCTTGTAGAATTTTAAAAAAAAACTGCTTTGGATTCACCTACCCAGGAATGAAATTCTGGAGAAGAACAGCTGGTTTTCTTTCTTCCAACCTCCAGCAACACCACCAATGCTTTCCTAGGCTTGGTATCACAGGTTTTTAGAAAAGGAATCAAATCAACTTTGTTCCAGCCAGTTTTTGTGGCTGGTTTGAGGCTCTCTGATCTTAATAACTACTGAAATGTTTTTAATGGACAGCGTTTGTTATTTTTTTCCCCCATTGGATTGTTTCACATTAACCTTGCATGGTTTAGCAAGCTTGGAAGGAGAAGCAGGGTAGACAATAGCAAACAAATTGAACCCCCCCCCCCCCCGGGTAGAGTGATATGGCTGCCGTAACTTTGAACCTGGCAAATCGCTTGGCTACCCCAAGGGCCTTTCCCAGTAAACAGATTTTTATATGGAATAAAAGGTCAACAGAAGCCTTCAAAGAGACCTGAAGTGTAGGATGCCCAGCTGTTCTCACCTTTTTTCCTTCTTTATGTTTTTTCCCCCACAAAATCTAGTTCTCCACAGGATTGAGTTAAACAGTTTGATGCTCATCTATTCAGCATAAAAGCCATTTAGGAATCAAAAGGACTTTTAGATGGTCAGAGTACTTCATTTTATCTTCCTCTACATGTCCCTCTCCTCACCCTGGCAGAAATAAAGGTTTCAGGAAAACATATCTAAAATAATGGTAAGGAAGGGTGGAAATATCCATTGTTTATTTGCAGTGTGTTCCAGATACTTGTCTGGCAAGGGAGATACCATAATCATTTTTTAAAAAATCACAAGTGGGCTTATGAGTTAGGATAATTTAAAAATGCAGTTGGACAAACTTCTATAGGGAGAGGACAAGAGACTGTGCAACTGAACAAAATTTGCCCTGAAGCACACAACCCACCCAAGCCAAATGTGTTTGGATTACAAGATCCATCATTCCCAGCCAGCAGACCCACAGGTATGAAGCAAAGGATGGGAGTTGTACTCCAAGTGTGTTTGGGGAGTACCACCATGGAGAAAACTGAGACAGAGGGTCTTCAAACGCCTTCCCCAACCTGACGCCTTCCACAGATATTAGTACTGCAGTTCCCAGAATTATAAAGCAGAGTAGACAAAGGGAGAAGGAAGTCCCAATGCATCTAGTCACCCCATTTTGGAATAGGGTCTCCTAAAAGAATTCCATGGATAATGGTATCAACATCCAGCAGAAGATCCAGGAGACCCATTCCTTTTCTTTCCTCAGATAAGAATTTGTAATCCCACATACCATTACAAGTTCTTTTCTCAGATAAGAACTCGTAATGATATGTGGGAAAGACCTTGGGAGACAGGGTGAAGAGATGCTGCCTAGGGAACGGTCAGATAAGAAACAGCATAGCCCACAGCTGGATAGTGGGTGGGGTAAGAGGCTCAGAAGGGACCTCAGAAGGGACTTGCAAGTTTGATATCAGCCTTATCAGGTAGACCAGACAGGAAACTCGACCAGATAAGCTAACTCTACTTTATTGTAAAGCTACATTAACAGAATCTTTCAAGTCTGAAAGTGAAGTTCTCCCCCCGTCTCCTTTACAGCCTGAGAAACTAGGGAGGGTCCCTTCTGAGCCTCTTGCCAACCCGCTATCCAGCTGTGGACTATGCTGTCTTTTACCTGACTGTTCCCTTGGCAGCATCTCTTTGCCCAGTCTCCCAAAGTCTTTCCCAAATACCATTACAGAACTAAAGCAGGGGTCCCCAAATTTTTCAGCTCATTGGCCCCTTCATGAAGTTTCAGATTGTTTATCTGAGCATTTATTATATGAAAATAGTTTAATAAATACTACTTTAACTAATAGTACTGTGAAAATAATAATATTAACAACAACCCTTTGGATAGTCCCATTGACCCTTGGGAATCAATATTGACCCCTCTGGAGAACCCTGAACTAAACTCTCTGAATCTGGATAATGCTTTTTATGTGATCTTGGAAGTAATGCCTAACCCTCACTCAAAAATGCCCCATTTCTTTCCTCACTCCATCATGTATGCTACCATTTTTTAAATGGCTACTCCAGCTTTTCATCCTGGGGTCTTTCTAACTTTTTCTTGAGATGCTGAAGACTGAAATAGGAATTTCTGTATGAAGTGCAAATGCCCTAACGCAGATCTCCAGCCCTGTCCTAAGATAAACCCTTCTTCCTATCTGCAGTGAGGGAATTCCAATGCTATAGTGGACTGTATGTCTTTTTAGAGGCAGGAATAGTATCTACCAAAGCTTAGAGTTTGAATGCATCCCTTGTTTGATTGTTTAATGGAATTTGAATCCCACCTTACTTCCCCCATTAACAGAAATCCCCAGGACAACTTATAGTAATGTTTTTAAATGCATAAAAAATGGGTGTCACCACTGAGAAGGCCTTGTCTGATTTGCCCACTTGCCATTCCCAAACCATAGATATGGCAGGAGGATATATGCAAGAACACAGCATATGTAAAATTATTATTGCTCCATTATTGCTGTTAACATGTATTCTCTCTTATGCCTTGTGATTTAAAATTTTTTTTTAATGATGACTGTTTTCATATGTTTACTGTTTTATTATTTTGTTGTACGCTGCCCAGAGTCAATTTTCGTGAGATGGGCGGTCATATAAACTTCATAAATAAATGAAATGAAATGAAATGAAATGAAATAAATAAAAAGGCAAAGAGTTTTATGAGGAAAATACAGCATTATATTAAAGACCATCTGCTTAATAGCTTTGCCACACACTTACAAAGCAGAGCAAACATGGAGAAAGGATTCAGCCCTGCCACATTCATTTTAACTTGCAAGAAGCTAATTTTAATCACTTGTTTTCGAGATGAAGAAAAGAAATTTTAATTCATATTAGGGGGTATAATGTATATCATTTGGGTTAAGTTTTTGGAGGAAAGCAATGTGGGTTTTTGGGGGAGGAGGAATGAAATCTTCCCTAATCAAGCTTGTGGCTTGCATTGACTCCTCTGAGAAATAGTTGATAGGTTAAAGTTTCAGCAAAACAAATGATCAGAGACTGAAACAATCACTGCTTTTTCCTTATTGTGTAACTGAAAAACATGACTAAGCAGATTCAGTGGATCTTATTTTGTTTGGCATCTAAACATGATTGCGTTCTCCCATTCACACTATGATTTTGTAAGGAGCCATAACAGGAAATACGCTTATAGTATAATGGAAACAGTGATGGAACATGGATCGGCTTATTTTGATTAGCTGCCTTTTATTGAATTAAAGAACACAAGTTTTGCAGGGAATCTGCACACGCACGAAAACAGTCTGCTGTAATACCGGAATCTGAACCTTGTAAAACAGTAGGGAGTTTGCAGAGATTAAGACAAGGGAAAACAAGCCTGCCTTTTCAGAAGCCATCAGATTTGCAGATGTTGATAGCTTCAACAGCTGTACTTGGGTTTAGTTTGATGTCCAGTTGCAAGGAATGCTGTTAGCAAGCAAAGTTTGCACACCCAGAGAGAATCCAGATGTTGAAGGAGTCAGACTGTCTGTATGCAACGGAAGATTAATTAATCAGCAAAACAGCGTTGTAGAAATGTGTGACATCAGGCCAAA